TTTATATTTGTCAATCGCTTCTTTTATAATCAACTAAATATGTACATTACCTTAGTAGCGTAGGAATTTTAATCAGCGTGTTTACCATTCCAACTACATAAAAAATGTCTGTGAAAAAAACAGTATATCGGGTGAGTATACATTATCTTATCACATTACATCTTCTTTAAATAGATTGATATCAAGTAGTTGTTAACGACTGTCAGTGTCTAAATGAAACAACAAATTTTGATAAGGATTTCAGTGTTAATTTGATATAATTTTTTATGTACATTACATGCTGTTATTATTCGTATTGAATAATAAATCGAACGAACCCGGAACAGGGTGCTAATTATTAATATTTTATTATATATATATATATATATATATATATATATATATATATAACTGGGATAAGACAAGACGGCAACGACGATCAACTTATAACAATGTTTAGAAAACTTTTCTTATCACAATATCAAGAAGGTTATACTAAGAGTCGGTAAAGAGCACATCACATGTCTGGAGTTTTAGGTGTCTAGGCTACAATTTAAAAAATATTATTAATATTTTTTTTTATTATTTTTCTTCTCGTCTTTCGTCGGTAATTATTATTATTATTAATACTGGCAGTTCTTATATTCGTTTATCCATATTTAAAATATGAGAGTTCTATTTATATACATTTTGTTTTATACACACTGTCTGCTATAATAAACTACTATAATAATCTGTCTTATTTTCATTCATTACTACTGGCCCTTTCTCAAGCAATACAAAATCTCTCCCTTACAGTATTTGAAATATATGAAAATTTTGTTAAAATGGTATTTAATATTAAATATACCTAACGAGTCAATACCGCATACAACTTCGTGACTGTTATCCCAGATGAGGTAGTCACACGCAGTGTCAACTGAATAATAGAGGTCGAGGTAAACGCAAAACTTGACATGCCTACATTTCGATCAGTATATCTATGTAGTGAGTACGTTCCAACAATATTAAGTTAAATATGTGGCAGTCACTGTTTAGTTTCAATAAACATTCTATTTCAATATCATATTAAAGCGCAATTTTATTGTCTTTGCAACTTGAAGTTATGACAACAACGACAGTGATACCGGCAAAGAAATAGTCGGCAAAGGGAGTTGATTAAAGAGCTCCAGCTTAGTACGCGCCGCGACAATGAATATTCAGTGCATAAGTATAATGCGGCGGCAATCTTAGCGCTCACTGACGCTGTCGCAACCGCATTGCTGCCCATTTCTCATCTTAAATGGCAAAGTGCCCGCCTTCAGTCCGTTTGAGTCTTTATGATATGCGAAATACTAATCACTGGGAAACAGTCGACTTATGTCCAAATGTTTACGGCTTATTGATAGATATTAGGCAGAAATTTAATGTAGGAAGTTAATTGTAATTGTTAAAAGTAAACGGGGACGGGTGAAGTAACAATTAATGACACCTAAAATATTTGTGTTAGATTCGCCCGTAAATAATGTTATTTCCCAATAATTTTACTAAATTAAAAGGAATTGACGCTATTAAGAAATTATATGGATGTCTCTTCACTTTACGTCATCATTATAAAATATGTGCAAAAATTTAAAACAAAAATATTATTAAAAGTTAAACAAATTAAATTAAAAGAAACTAGAATGCATAAAAAAGTGTTTATTTACTTTTACAGCTTCAAAATAATACAATATAGATATAACGTAATGTAAATTTAAAGCAACTTACAAAATTCCGCTTCGTTGAAATAGAAATTTCTTCAACTTACTCCTCGTAAGAAACATCTTTAGAAAATTAACAAAACAAAAACAACTTCCATTGACTGATATTACTTATTGTAGAGGTACTAATTCTAGAAATTATCATGTATTATATTATGTACAGTATTGTATTACAATGATTGATTAAGTACGGTCACGTGATCAGCAATCAACAGAGTTTAAGAGAAAAGTAAAAGTTAACTGTACTACTATTAAAAATGTGAAAGATTATAAAAATGGCTAGGTAGTTATTGCTGAATCTTATTACATGAAAGTACACATATTACAGATAGATCACATCCTAGATGTATTCATTAGCGCAGATACTTTTTATGCAACTTCATGCGAGAAAGGCTGCTAGATACATGGTTCTTAATAACACGACAAAGACAAAAATATCATTATAATAATTATATTTTTTAAACCAACATAATTGTTATAAGGAATATGATAGATAATACATATATGACTTAGTGTCACACTCTGTCATATTACTGACTAACGACATTTTAATGAGTTAAACCACTAAACGGCTGATGTGACAAGGTATACAAGTGGTTTGCATATTCATTATTACTTGTGACTGAACACGGGCGCGCAGCTATGGCTGGTTAATGATTTTTAAGGAAGAGTTGCATAGACAACCATCACTACAAGGTATTACTAACATTTCAATTATGCTGGTTGTAACATTCGTAGCTTATAAGCTACGAATGTTACAGTTACGTCTGTAGAACATCAATGATATATCATTGATGTTCTACAGACGTAGAAAAATGTTTGAAGAAAAATATAACTCAAATTCCATTAGAACTAAACGTGTCTCTTTTTTTATTTAACTACTTCACTTATTTATTAATATGAGTATCAAACTGCTTCAAAAATAGAAATATATGAGTGGGTGTGTCTTTGAAAGACGATGTATAATTATATCGTTATTAAAAACATTTTTCGATAAAAAAAATATTTAGGAACACCGAATTAATAATTAGGAAGTGTCGATTAAAAGCTACGCCACGATGCCACCTACTATAGAGTCGAAAATTGATAGGCAAAATACACATTCGGCAATCATCTATTTAAATCGTAATATATCTATGTATATCCATACTTTAATGATGTACTGCTCCCTTAAATTGGTCCAAATTAACTAGAACTTTTTTTGGGCCCAATGATAAACATCTTAAAGCTTTTAGCATACGTGTCTTGTAGATACTGCAATGACTATGCTACAAGGACTAATATAATATACTATTTAAAATATTTATCTATCTTAATAAGTTACAAATAATTAAAAGGACATTAAATTATGAAAACAGTAGTATTACAGTCAGGTGTAAACCTAGCAACGCTAAAGAGGTAGTACATCACTTAATAATGAATATTAAGTGTATAAGCATATTATTAATCTCATTACCACGGTCTGCTATTAACGTTTCCAGCTATTTCTCATCTTATATAGCAAACGTTAAGATCTCTTTTACATTACTACTACTCATAAGTAGTACTCGTTTAAGTATACTGAATTCGCCATTTGTTAGCATATACATTTGCGTAAGTATATAGGTACCTACTACTTAGTAACTAACTGCAATGAAAATAGTTTAGTTACTGGCTGTTCACAAACCACAGATTACATGAATTGTTACCCAAATGTATTTAAAAGCAAGTATATAATTCGTCCTAAATGTCCTTGTGAATATTTAAAAGTGAGGAACATTATAAACGTAAACAAAAATGCATGGAAATATTGAAGCTACCTATTTATCATGGGTTAAGTTTCAGTGTTTAAAAATCCTTTCTCAGTTTGTAATAAATAGCAGCCCTCAACCAAATAATTTGTCCATTCAATGATCATGAAATATGGTATGAATACGTTACTAGTGTATAAAAATAATAGTTCAACAATATACAAAAGTGAGTCACAACACAGTCACATGTCGTTAGGTCTGATTTAGTTTATGGATTAGAAAAGCAAGATAAAAAATAATTATCCTATAAGTGTCTAATTGAATTCAAGTCCATTTAACCGTTTAAGTATTGCGCATGGGACCGTCTTAGGAAGTCTACTCTTGCATCATTGGGAGAATTAAATTGCATCGATCGTCTGGGCCGATATATCTTTATATGAATTCGATTAACCTAATTGCACTTTATCATCTGGTTAAGCGCTGACAGATCAGTTCGAAATATTGTGTGCCAAATCGTATGGTTATCTTAGGATTTTTACAGTTTTATAGCAAAAATGCGCTGTTAAAACCCTAAGGATTATTTTTTTCTCTTTGCAGTCCCTTGTAACAAACGTACGTACAGAACGTTGTTCACATTAAAATATTTCGTTTGGCACGCTATTTTTTGGAGTATATTAAGGTTTCTTAAGGGTCGGCAATGCCCACGTGACACCCCTGGTGATTCAGGCGTCCTTAGGCTACGGTAACCGTTTACCATCAGATAGGCCGTATTGCTAGTTTGCCACCTACGTAGTATACAAAAGAAATTATAATTACAAATTTTCAAATTGTAAATTATTTGGCTAAATTAGAAGGGATTTTATGACTTTTTTGAAATACAGATTGATTTTAATAATTAGCATGGAATAGACATTGATACAAACTGTATATAAATTATTGATTAATAAAATAAAAAATACTTCTTAAATAATTTGACATTCTTTTTTTAATGTTGATTCATAATTGATTATATACTAATTGATTATTTGTATACTTCATATATTAAATGTAATTATTAAAACTATTCTCTGTAGAATGAATGAAATTCATGATAAGCGAACAAGTTAGTTAAATTGAAATTCAGGCACTTCTGTTCGTTCGATTTAACTCTTAACGTCGAAATTAAAAATGAATATCGCGAAAATACCGTTATAGGAGACTTTATGTACTTAAATTATTAAGACATTAACATTCATATATCATTAGGGAATTGACTATTAATATACACCTGTCAAAAACTTTATGTATAAGGCTATAAAGCGCAATTAAAGAAAATAAACAATAAGGATCACTTTTCATAGCGCTAACGGAATGAGTCGTATACTACTGTCGGAAACTACAAACAAAATTCAATGACAAATTATATCGTAAGGGTGGAGTGGTCGTATTTCTGTTGGTAAAGGAAAAACTATTTTAAATTTAACATGAAATCAAAATAATCTGGCAATTAATAAAAAAAATGCTAATTACAATATATTGAATAATTCTTTTAAAATAATACTAAACTTACCCTTTCATAGATATGTTATCAGACAAATATTTATATTCGAGAAAATTTACAATACAATTACGACAACAGCTAGAATGTAATATAGCCTTAAATTTAATTATCATACAGTATATATATATTTGCTTATAAACACATCAAAATATTAGATAACAAAGAGGAAGCAACACTTATTGTCACACATTTCGTACGCGAGCTGGCGAGGGCGCGGCACGCGATACGTCTGACCTCCGCCGAGTATGGGGGAATACTGAAGCGGCAACTGATAGCGACGGCTAAAGTGATAGCAGCGCAGCGTGAGAACTATAAGAAACATCTACAGGACGGGAGTAGCTACGAAAATGCTACGCGCTACGAAACAACTTTTCCGGTAACTGAAATGAAAAGTGACAACAATACATGCAGACATAAACATCACCGTAGACATCACGTCGTCACGTGACTTTCGTGGTATCCGATGATGCGTGAATAGAGAAGAAGACCAAGTGCCTTTGTACCCTGTAATTTCACTGCCTGATCTAACTCCTCAAACCGGCACGCAGAATAGAGACTGCTGACAAATTGAATGTTAAGGAAAAATTAGGCACGTTCCTACCACGACAGTCCATCCATTCAGCACTGCCAACATTCTCCCGCTCTACTGCGATACAGCGCACGATCCGACCCGATTAATACTAAGCACGCCAATAAATACTGATACCGGCTTCTTTGTCTTGCACGGAAGATTCGTTTCCTTTTATTAATGGTATACTCACGTTTGTTTGACAAATTGTGTAGGTATTTCAGGATTTGCTACGTTAGTTTATGTCATTCTATTAGTTCAAATTCTAAACCAGCGCCATAAAGTGAGTTTTGCCACTGTGATTTTATTTGTCAAGTCACTAAATAGAGTGATATATGAAAATACAAAATGAAGTAAAATTTCATGTGTCATTGTCTAATAGATTATACATTTAAAGTAATACAATAAATTTTGTAATCAGAATGGAACCATTTCCAGGACACAGTATATATTAAAAAGATAGTCATCGATATCGATTTATTCTATAAAAACGGGTACATGTACACTATTACTATCTGCACAGGATCTGTAATGGTTCTTTCTGCTTATCAAGTAAGAGACCTGGCGTGAAAGTAGTTATATGATGTTATAATCATTATATGTATAAAATATGATTCTCTAACAAAAGTCACGTTATTGAGCAGAGAGTACCCCACCAAATTAATGTGTGACGGACAGTAATCCGCTCTTAATTAATGTATGTATCTGACGAACCGTGCGGACGTGATATTATTGTAGCAGGAAAGATCGATCGACATTCACGGGGTCGGTTATTCTAAGGCCATATGTGTGACAGTATTATTTCAGCAGCAAAATCAGAAAATAATGAATAATTTTAGATAAACATTGACTAGCTGTATTAAGTAAAGAAATAAAACATAGAAGAATGAAAAGAGAAAGAAAGAAAAATCAAATAGAGAATTCTATTGAATATTGACTATACTAATTGATAGAGAATGCTTCTAATATTAACTCCGCCTTTTTTGCTATATTTTATTTCGTCAATAGTTTTTAAATGAAGAAATTAAAATAAATAATTCTAAATTCCTTTCATGACAACGAAACAATGGCATTAGTTGAAATAAATATTTAGTATTTAATGAAAGACGATCAATGAGCTTTTATAGTCATATTAAACTAGTCAAGCTATCAAAAAACAATTAATTATTTGCATAGGACGACAGAGTAAAGACACTCAATAAAACTGACAAAGAGAACATTACAGACTTATCACCGGGCAAGCGCTTACAAACAATTTCTTATTAATTTAGATCAGTGTGAATGTAGTAAAGAATTTTATAAAACTATAGCGTTTGTTGACTTTAATTTACTGGTGTTCTACATAATAGTTTTTATTGAAACAAACGTAAAAGTTTATGGTGAATATTAACCACGGCTGCGATGTGGTTCCAAGGTTTCCGACCACGTAAAATTTGTAGTATAACATTTTTATGTGGTAGAAAAACGATGCGTCGACAGCTCTGAATAATTTATAATAACTCTGATTTGGGTGCTCCGGTTAACAGTAAATAACATTCCAGAAATATAAATGTGTCGTGAACTCATAAATACTTTTAGTAATATATATAATGCGCAGGTGTGACTATAACTATGCAGTGATTATTCGGGTTCACTTTGAAATACGACGGCTACGATGTTTATTCATATGTTCTACCTACATCTATATACATATATAATAAAAATATAACTGATCTCTATGTGTACAAGGAAAATATGTGAGCATAACTATTATTATAGGACTTTAGCAACGTAATAGAACCCAAAGCAATGCTTGCTATAATTTTTGTGTTTGTGCGTTTATGCGCGCTGATGTTAGGAACGCTTTAATCAATATTGAGCAATTGTCATTAATATGTTGTGGTAAGCATCACATAAAATTATGTGTTTGTTTTATTACAATCAAATGACAAACAATATAGTCATACTGGTACAAAATAGCAAGATCTTTTAATAATAACTATAAGCGATGGGTTTTACACACCATTTCTTACGTCTCTTAATCTCGCAAAAGGTTAAAAATATATCCTTCAAAAGTCGTTCTGTTACTATACTTTCTGTAGGTACTTAGCTGTGTTATTACTACTATTAATCCTATTTCTTGATACATAGACCTGAGGAGGGTTTTAATCTAATCTATATCTATCATATAGCAACAATTACGCGTTTCTTTTTATTTAACCACATAACTTATTTGTTTTTTATAAATTTAACTTTCTAAGTTACATTGCAATTCATACCTTAAATTGAAGATAATTTTTATCAGATTAAATAGCCAACTTAAGCATACTAATTAACAATAATATTTAGTATTTGTATTTATAAATAGCAGACACGAAATATTTAGTCTACAGAAAAAAAAAGAGAACTCAATGAAATACATTTTATTCAGCGCCACATTTCTCCATACATGGGATAAATAAAAACCATAAAATATTTACATATAGAAATATAACCGCCAAAATAGAAACAATATATGAAATCGCACCAGGGACTCTAGCAAGGTTCATGATTTAACTTCAACTAATTCCATGATAGGTTTGCATAAATCAGCAGATAATCTGTACGGTATTGATTTTCTGTAGAGGCCTAAGAAGTGGCGTTGTAAATATCTAATACTTTGTTTCTATTTATACGAGCATGTCTTATATTCCCAGCAATCTTCGTTCACACAAAACAACATTGTGATATGAACTGTACGAGATAAAAACAGACAGAAAATAATGCGTAAACGAGTTCAATATGATTGAACAGGAAACTCATCTGTGAATGATGGACAGACTGCACGATGAGATGTGACTGACAGACATTTTTATGTTATTTCTGTTACTAACTTATATTTATTTAAGTGTATTTTCTTCTATATTGATTTTGCCACGGGGGAGTGCGATATGTAATTTGGAGCACCTTAAAAACTCGAACAGGGTATTGTAGCAAAAAACCTTTTTAATCAACGTGTTTCCCTTGGGCTTTTCCCTGTGGGACACGAATAGCAAGCCTGCCTCCAGCAATCGCGTCTAAAATAATTTGAATCTTGTCATATTTTAGTAGTCATTAATAATTTAAAGTTAATTTTAGATTAAAGAAATATCTTGTCGGTAGTGTGTGTAGATTTATTTAACCTAAGTTAATTACAATTATAGTCTTTAACATATGAATAAGTAAATGACAATTTGAAGTAAATAACATGTAATTATGTAAAATTTACTCTAAAACTGACCTGATTTAGATTTTTTATTGATTTTAATACGTAAAATACAAAAATAATTTTATTTCATTTGATCTTAATGGATTGGACCAAATGACAGGTACCTAACAGGTAACGTTGGAACACGATGCTGTAATATGAACAACTTGCAACTAGCAATTTAGGTGGGTATATTAATACAATAAATTTATTATAATTTTGCGTTGAAAATATGTTTTGTTATATAACTACCAAATAATGGGACATTAATAGCAAAGTTTACAAACATGGCAAATTTAGTTCACACAAAAATCGATTAACGAGGTACCAAGTTTCGACATGTAACAAGTTTTGCGGTACAAATTCTCTAAATATGACTAGTGAGTAATGTCATGTCGCTAATGTGTTCCTGGCACAATGGGTAAGCTGGAGGCAGCGCCACCGTCTCACAAAGTGTAAAGTTTCTTCTACAACAAGGGGCGGCTTTTAGCCACCTTGCACTGAGGTGAAGCGTCGCCGTAGGTTCATTTATGAAAAGCTTTCAGGTTCGACACAGTTAACGGGAAGCTCTATTCAAATCGTCTTTCCTGTACACGAGCGTTTACATAAATCAAGTATTGAATAAGCTACTTTCTTTCGTGTGCAAGAATGGTTAGATAGCAAATTCTTTTGCAGAACTTACCCATTTCATCAGTCTAATGTAATGATGTCTCGCCATTTTTCAGTAATAATTACAGGCCTTAGCAAAGTGATGAATTGAAATATTTAACAGGCAGGAAAAAATGTTTTATTTTTTTCTTCTATTATACGATTGTAACATTTTGATTACATATAATATAAATGTTAGTACAGCTTACATAATACACAGCGATTTAAGAATAATTGCACTTTTAGTAATGAAATGGTAATTATATACAAGATAACTATTTACGTATCCCGAGTAGAGGAAAATATCCAATTTGCGAATATGTGGGTATAGTCTCAATTAATATAAACACTATTAATTATTTAACAAACGTTAAAGAATAAATAAATATTAAACAATATGAACAAAATTATATACATTTCATAGGGAAAATATTGTACATTAAGTAACATATGTATATATGGGAGAGAACGTCTGCGCAAATAGATAGGATAGTCTGGCCGCGCGTCCATAAGCTGCGGAGCGTAAGGGTAATAAGCGGCTCACTCGACTCCGCTTCAAGAAAGAACTTTTGTTGTTACTCGTCTAGATCTTCACAACAAGATAAATATGTAAAGCTGGAGTAAAAAGCATCGTGGCTCACGGACAGACACACAAAAAAAAATAGTAAATTTGATTCCAGTAAATTTAAAGAGAAGAGGTGCTAGAATCTATTTTATTATGTTAACTTCTTAATACGTGATGTTGTGAAATTGCCCTAAAATATACAGTAGCGAAATTAATAAACGGTAACGTCTTTGGGAATAAAATAATTTACAG